TTAACTACCAAAAAAGAGTAAAACTTCAGAGCCATCACGGTTTTAAACCCGGTGTATGGGTGCAGGTGGTCGAATGATCAACAGATTATCTCTCTGAGGAGAAGTGTATATGAATACCACCACAGCCGCCCAAGTTTCCTTGTTCTCTGTGCTGTAAGATAGGTCTTTGATTGGCCCCTTCGCTCTTCCTGATAAGTGAATCATTGAATATTCAATAAAAAGGTAAAACAGATTAAAAAGAAAATAACAGTCAAGATAAAGAAATAATAAATCACTGGGTGCGGTGTCCGATGAGCTGTGAATCGATTCTTCGGGAAGGAGGACAGGGTGCGAAATATTATATTTGCTTCAAGCACATTCCTTCAGGGACATTTTGGCTAACAACCAGAGTATTTTAACCCATGAGAGCTAAGATAATCTGATAAGCACGAATCACGGAGTCAAGGCTGACTAAACAGAAATTAAAAATCCCGTCAAAAGTGATTGGTGATAAACATTTAATTTTCTTTTCTACTACTTTATTCAGCTTGGACTATCATTTAAGGAAGAAAAGGATGAAAACAGATTGAAACAGACTGAAAACGTGCCAGCAGGATAACGGTATCGGGTATGACCGCATCGGTTACCCCACGGGGGAAATCAAGCATGAACGCTACTGATCAGAGCAAGCAGCCATACTACTCAATCCCTCAAGATATTGTTCACATTGCCCTCAACTGTAGCAGCTTAACACGCGAGAACATCATAGACCGACTAAACTCAGATAAGTGGACCACTGCTGTACGTTCGAATCGCAAGCAATGATAGGACCAAAGTAAAAATAATAAATGCTCCAGTATGATAAGCTTGTGTCCTGTTAAAACTGTGTACGGAAACAGCAAAATTGTGTTCGTAAACAAATTTACCTCTCCACTGGCTTCACATGAACTCGTCGTGTTCAGTAGTTAGTCTATTGAAGTGTGAGAAATGGTGCGTTAAGGAGTTCTTCACTACCCACCGTGGTGGCTATCGAATCCGTACATTCGGTGTATGTCCATTTCTGTCGTTACGCAGCAATGAAAATACAGTTGTTGAATGCATCTCGAACTTGTCACAAATCGATGTCATCATCATCGTAGAGCGGAAATACAGCGAGGCGAACTACACTGATCGTTACCAAACTCACAAAGCATGCAACGTCAGGTAAAGAAAGCAAGTATTCATGGTCAGCACAGAATACATAGTTCAATTGCGCATACACACCATTTTACATATTCTGGTCAGATAAGAAATGATAACAAGAACGCCACTTCTGTCTGCTCGCTGACATGTCCTTCAGTGTCTCCAAACAACCAGTTACGGAGTCTTTTTGATCCCTGCCTGGAAGACGGGGACACCTAATCTACCTCATCGCTGTGTATTTCTTCATGCCTCGTCTCCACATCATCTGTGGACCTCCACGCAATTTCCTCCAGTCCGGGGGCAGATATAACGAACAAGAAGCAGTGCGGTAGACGATAGCTGGGCATACGCAATAGGTGTCCTAACACCAGCGAAGCCGACTAAACTGAATTCGATGTGATAGCGAATTTTTCTCCGACACACTTCCAAACACAACGATAATCTTCCCCCTGTGCGTTATGAATCCTCATGCCAGTTCCGCGCTAGCTACAGGTCTGTATTGAAGTAACCGGGAAAAAAACGATTGCTTCAGTTCCGACAGTTCGGTACCGAGAAACCAGGTCAATAATATCTGGATGGCGTGCAACTCTTGATTGCCGACTTTATCCCATTTTAGCAAATGAATATGCACTATTGAGGGACGTCTGAGGGTCAGACAGGAGGAGCATGGATGGGTGTGGTCTAGGCCAATCCAATCCAATCCAATTCCTACTTGTCACCATTTTTTTCGGGTAATGCTCATCGAGCAGGATGCAAAATAACGATTCTGGAATTGAACCATGCAGTCTCGTAATTTGCACGTTCTTTGTTCGGACCATTTAGAAAAATTCAAGGGAGGCAGGGGAGCACAGTCAAAGGGTATTCGAAACTTTAGACAGCGTTCAAAAAAAAACTGTATGCGATCACACCATTTAAATCGCTTGGCATAAGAATAGAAAGGGTTTTATTCACTTGAATGCGTTATTGCTTCGCAGAAAAACTTTAAAGGATTCATGGAGTGAAGTGGCTGAATACGGCAGTCCGCAAATCTGAGAAACACGGCACTCACCTAAGCACCAAATCTCNCCCCCCCCCCCCCCCCAAACAAAGAAAACCAGAAAATCGTGAAATGCGCTCATTCATTGAATAAATAGGTTCACAATAAACCTTATTAAAACTTAATAATATATCTTGGTATACAAGGATAAAAGACATACAGATATCTGTACTTCCACGGAGTGGCATACAAACAATCAATTGGAAAGAAACGAGGGGTAGTTAAAAAGTACTTCAAAATGTTACAAAATGTGATCTCACGATGTAACAAACGATATGTAAGATACATACAATAAGGTCAGTTCTGTGTCATGCATGCAGCAAAAATAGTTGGCAGCGCCTACTCAGGTGAAATTGAATTTGACCTTCAGCAAGTAGCGCAACCGTACTTGACGCGGATTGTACACTATATATTCATTGAACTGCAATGTATGCGTGTCCGGATCGCGGCCAGGAACGCTGATCAGCTTCCCGATCGGAATGGTCAGCTGATCCTCCCTATGGGATGAGAAAGGAGAAAACGGAGTGGAAGGATTTCCGGTGATGCCCGAACGTGAAAATACGATCACACATACATACAAGCAAACTGGAGTAATATAAACAGCTGATGTTCGAATATAAAATGGTTTCTATGCTCCACTGTGCTCAGTGACCGGATGCGTTTGAAACTCAATCAAAATCGTCATAAGAAGAAATTGGATCTAGTGCAGTATTTGGAGAGGCTATTTCCTACACGACGTTCACTATCAGATTAGGAAGAAATAGTTCCCATGGAACAGACGTGTCGGAGTTTAACCACTATCACTAAGAAAAACCTAGGTTTGCTGAAACGGTTCTCATTAGCCGTTTAAAGCCTGACCTATGCGTGCAAAAGGCCTTTGTTATGCAGTTATTACCATGGTAATACTCCTCCCTTTTCTTTCCCATCATCTCAACCGTTCTCTTACATCATCGTTGACACTTCACCCTTCTTGTTGTCTTATTACGTAACTCTCTTTGACCTACTTATTTGATCAATTTTTTACTCTGTTAACTTTCTACGTCTATTCGAATTCATTTCTGGTGGTACCGTTTTCGTATTACGTAACCATGTCCAACTCTCTTTCCACCACGGCTAATCGTTTTCCATTACGTAACTGTTTCTATGCTAACATTCCCCTGCTCTTCTTTCACCCATACCCAAATGACTTCGGTAATTACTCAACCACCCAGTACCTTCTGCTTGACCACATGTAATTATGTAAATATCCATATATGGTATTCTTATGATAAAATCTGACCTATTAATGTGCGTAGGCAGTTGATTGAGAGCACGCGAAATTGATGGCCAATATCAATTCTGCTAATTTTGTGTTACTTGTATTCAAATCACAGTATCCTAATCTGAATAAAAAAAAGAGATCCGTGATTTGATTGTGGGCGCAAAACTGCTGGGTGGCTAGGCCAAAGCATGTTGGCTTTCCACCCTCTCGATTTGGTGGGAAAACACCTCCGTCACGGGAAAGTAGTGAATAGGGCTTCCTCAGCTGAGGCTATTTGAGACGCTTGGTCATACAGGAGCGTTTCGTGAGATGCAAGGGAAGGGTTACCAGCGACAACGCAGCATCCATCCACCCAGCACTCCTTCCCCCTCCCCCCCACACCCACACACGCATGAGGATTTCGGAGACCCATTGCGTTAGTCACTAAATTTCCTAAAGCGAACTTACAGAATGAAAATTACGTTGCACAATTTATACCGAGATAGATCTGTATCTCATCAGGCGCAAATTCCAAATGGTGTTACATGAATTTGTACAACAACTAGACCAAGTGACCGGTAATCGATTTGCAATGGTCACAATTTTACCTGGAATATGCGAGGGAAACGAATGATTCCTTTTGTTTACACAGGGAGGCTNGGCTGGCATCTTTAAGTCTCAATCGCTCCAGCAACGAGAGAATTCTAGTCTGTGTGCATGGTGAAACCTTGACAACTGGGAATCAATTAAGGGCTATTCAATTTAAAATACTTCGCAAATTTATATATAATCTCTAGGAGGTAGTTTTTATCCGGATAAAAACTGTGCAAAAACGGTCGGTTGTGTTCTCGATCCAAAGCATAAAACATAATCAACATCACTGTTAACCGGCCCATCAATATTTTCTTTCTGTGTGATATCACCTTTCTTGTTTGAATCCTAATACCTTTCACCGATTGAATAGTTTAATTTTAATGAACCAACCAGTAAATTCCCGTCTAGATCACCATAACTCCTCACCGAGGTAGTGTACTCATCACCATCAGAGGTCGTTATGCTGACCGAACTATTGCGGATTTTTACGAAGATGCTCCGCATTTCAACTACCACCGCTAATGGGTCTTAAGCTTACTTCTAAAGCTACTTAAATAATCATCCTTTGCTCCTAAACGATAAGAAATAAACTACTGGAACCTCAAACACATGGACAGGACAGACAAACGACCGTGAATAGCGTAAATAATCTACTAGGCGGAAAGTATCGACTGGTTGAAATCTAAATTATGATTCTGCCGGAGTATTGTGACCATTTTTCGTTTCTCATCACGGTCGTATTATCATAGTGCCGCTAACTGGCATAGCGCAGCACGTTTTTATCGTCTCCATTAACTTATCGACAGCCCTGAATGCGCTTAAAACACTGTCACAATAGATTTGATGGACGCATTGCTCTTCTTCACAGCTCAACCGACACTTATGACTGTCTACCATTTGACTTATATCCATGCCAAACCAATTTTTGGTAGGAACATACGAAATAAATATGATTGGATAACTGATACCAACAATATTCAACGGAACTTGCCTAAGCATTTAGACTGAGCCGTGGATCACATGTTGTGTGGTATACACGCTTAATCGCGCGAATGAGAATCACGCTCTGCTGTAGAACGAATCGCACAGCAATCTACCCGACGGTCTATAGAACCATAGATGGTCATAGTTCGGAAAACGCAACAAGATACAATCACATCATTTGATTCTCGTGAGTAGCACTCAGTTGATCTCCCTTCAATTTTGTGAACCATTCTCTTACAGATGTCAGTTGACCTGCACTAACATGAGGACAGAAAGAAACTCGATATTCGCATCGCTTCGGGCTGGTGTGAATGCGAAGGAACAGCAAGTTAGGGTACATAAAACGTTAATGACCCCACCACCCTGGTCGTCCGCAATTTTTCGGTAACCAAACCACCCAGTTTAATTTGATGACACCACGACCCATTGTCGTATGGAGGAAAAAACGGTTTTCATTATAAGTCTACTAAATTGATTTATTTCAGAAAATGTGCCCCTGAGAATGCAAAATACTATTAACTCACTTCAGGAAAAAGATAAAAACGTCTAAACAGTTACAAAACACACTGCACTCTATCATTAGTGATTGAAATACAACGCGCAGGTATACTCCCAGTCGGGCTTCGGATTATCTGAAATTCAAAATTGTTCCACTCCCCAAGGATGTCTGAATAAATTCCATGACAATGTAGAATGCCCGCTTTATCAATAGATCCCAAACATTTTCAATAAAGTTCAGATCTGGAATGGGTGCCGGTAAAACCACGTTCTTGATGATGAATAAATAAGTTTAGCAAGGTCAAAATCGAAATCAGCTTTTTCGTCCGTACGGCAGTGAGTCGATTATCGCCATAATAAATCTGATTAATCTGGTGATTACCGAAAATTTGAGGGAAAATAGGTTGGAGTTAATAACATTTCGTGCACTATATTTGTCGGGCCATCAGCATGTGGAAATTCGGGGCGTCCGCAGTTTGGATATTGAAAGCCTTGGTCGAATTAAGATCTGCAATTTCCATGTTGATAAAGCGATATAAATAAACCAGTACCTTTCGCCCGTGGCGCCTTCATCTCTAAAGGTAAATGATTGGGTTTACTCTAGCAGTAGCTTTAATTATTCACTAAATACTGCCAGGTACCTTAAATCAGCCCTGATTAAATCAATTAAAAAAACTAGCTCATCTCATCAGATTTAATGTACCCCCACATCGTAACAGAGCTCCATCATCCTGCAAGGTTCGTTTAATTTAATTTGTCTACTTATATCTCTTCAATCGACAGGCTCCCATCCTTCCAGCAAACACCTTTATATACAACGCCTTATTTCGTTGATCCCCCAATCATAATAGTTCATTGTGTTCGGGGTTACCACTGCCACCGATGCATTGAACAGATTGATCGTACACCAGTTGAGGTACACTTATTAGATGGCAGTAAAATATCCGAGGAATCTTTCTTGGTCCGTCCAGCATTCTGATCGCAGTTTTTTAACACTCCTCTTATTGTACGCTGTAAACGGGGCAAGATAAACTCCTGTCTGAGGGATGGCGGAGTCTCGAAGGGAGTTATCCGCAGACATCCGAGTATCGTTCGATTCAACGTCTCGCTCGGCACAGAAGGCCGACTACCACCAAAGAAACGGTGACAGGTGCTGAATATGAACCATGATCCGATGAAAATCAATTAATGCGGTTGCACCTCGTTGTAATCCATGAACACAGTCCTACAGAATTAGATAAACTAGTGCGTCAAGCGAGGTTATCTTGTTTCGACAAAACGTGAAGGCTGTGGGCTCACAGTAAAAAATAAGACGTAGTGAATTCGCGAAATCCGAGGAAAATGCGTCCAAGTAATGCGTTCAATCACGAAGTTTGTTTACAAAGTGTCAACAGATGAGACATATTACTCTCACGGAGGAAAACTTTATTTTCACACTCGTTCGTTTTATGCTGCTAATCATTGGAGATCACCTCATACCTTTGGCAATTCAAGTTGCCCGAATATCAATTCAAAGTGTGTCGTTGATCTCGTCAGCGGTGACAAGTCCATGTACTGCTCACGCCTCTCAGTGAGCGAGAGCTGAGAGTATATCGTCAGATCCTATGCTCATGCACAACTGTCTAAAACACCGTATCTTCACTTTCCACACAATTGACCCAAATTATCTGTCGAGAGCTTCGGATGATATAGTGAAAAACAAGAAAAAATTTCCAATGAAAAGGTGTCCATGTTTTGTTTAAATGTCTTCGCAATTTAGCACTTTCAAGTAAATAATGGATACATGTTGAATCATATTTGCACACATATCCGAGTCTACTGACATCTTGGCAGTTGGGTGCCATATTTTTGCACCTTGCCCCCAATTCTCCAGCACTCAACCCAAATGAAAGTGTCTGGGGCATGATAAAGCATTGTTAGAAGCAATATGCATTTCTCAATAAGTCAATACCAAAGTGCAAGCGTTATATATTACAAAAGGATCGTAGCCTTTTTACATAATAAATATATTGTAGTAGTTCGCTTGTATTGGTGGTATCAAACTAGTGGAGGAACTCTGGGGATTTTTCATAACGTGTGTCTATCGAAATGTCGTGTCATAAGTTGCTTTGCTGAACTGAAAACTGTCATGAACGTAAAGTAGGCATATCGTAACAACGCCGTTTGCTTAGCGTTGATCCTCATTAAGCAGAAAAGGTGTTCTGGTGTCCTTAGAATTACTCAGTTAACGAACATTTTTATAATTTCTGGTTAGTGGTGGCTTCGGTAATCACCATTCTTAGAACGACAACGATGATGTTCACATCGTGAGACCGAATCGAGAATTGGAGTGCGTATAATTTTCGCGCCATTTCCGGTATTCGACTAGCTTCATTTGACAATGAAATTGTTCGAGGCCAGTTTACATTAACCACTTTTGAATGTCATACCTTACCTCAATTCAACCGGCTTACTTTGTATGCTGGAAGTGTTTTAGTAGAATGACATGATTTCAGCGACAGATTATTATTATTATTATTCAAAAACATTCTAATTTTTGATTTTATATAAAATGACGTAACTACTATAGAAATTTATGATATATTTCGACAGCCCTCGTTACGTCATTTCAAAGGCAGTTGGTTTGATAGAGATATACTATTCCGTTCCGGATATATGATCGAAATGGTCGCTTTGATTATTCAATACTTGAAGGTGCATCAGTGTTGGTATCAAAGAGAGAAAAAAATGGATATGAATCTGGTCAACAACCACGCACATATCGAGCGCTCATGGTCGACGGGTGTCCTATTGCAGCTGCTTCAGGTGTAGATCGTGAATTCTACTTTGTTGCGACATCATGGCTCAGGCGTTGATTGCGCATGATGCATTGATATCAGCGGAGCACGGACCGAGATGATTATCCAGGGAGAGGGGGACGAACACAGACGCGTAAGCGTACTAACGAGGTAAACAACCAAGGTACGTCATGCAAATTGGGGCGCGTGTGACCGAGGCACGTCTCACAACTGCCTCCCCCGCGCTTCAACGGAGAGTAGAGAAAGCGAAGCTGCATGGTGGTCATCCAGACATCCCTGGGAGGCTTGAGCAGTATATGCGTCTGTCAGGGCTGATGAAATAAATGATACAGCTTCAAGTGGTGCTCAGACATCTTGAAAAAATCCTGCGGTCCGAAAGACCCGGCAACTGGTCGGTTGGAAACATTGAATGATATGACAGCGAACCGACAGCAATAGCGTTCTTGTTCTTATTTCCTATCAAGCCAGAATGCTTGAAACGGCACGTATGCATAGTAAGATTGTGTGCTCTGTGTTGACCAATAGAGGTTTACTTTCTTTCCCCTCGAACAGAATAGGTTCCATCGTTGTTCACTTCATAGATCAACACTAACCTAGTACTCACTGCGAGTTTGGA